GACTTTTCTGTTTCTGGCCTAAAATTATCAAATGTTTTTATATCGTTCACCAGGGGCGTCCACCTGTTGACTACTTTTATATTTTTGCCTATTACAACACTTAGTATGAAGAATTGGGTGATTTCAATCACCTTCTACGTAGCATACATATACAGCTCAAGTGGGATTGTACTTTAAAATCACGATGCGATCTTGAGTTAACAGCTGTAAACAATTTTAGTTTCTTCAAGACGTGTTTAACTCCAAAAAATAAATGAGTCAAAGTTATCAAAGGTTTCAGATTTTAACCTATTTAAAAAGACGGTCATACTATCTAGGTTTAATCTCTTAATTCTAAAGTTTGCAAGATATATAAAAAAAAAGTAGTCAGATTTAATAATTTTTTGTTGGCGCGCCATCTACGTTAAATGTGTTTTGTCTCTAATAATTTTAGAATAAATAAATGCCTAAAATTAGTCTTTCCACCCTGAAAGACACCTTCTTCTTGTACATTAGCACTGGCAGTGTTAATTAATCACCATGTTTGAAATGTAATCTATATTGAGCAGCATACATTATATTAAATGAAAAATTACAGTAAGCTAAAATAAACTCACAAACACTTAAGTAGGACGCACCAATAAGGTTGTCTTTTTACCCCATGATTTGTTGTCGAGGTTATAACAGTGAACATTTAGTGCTTACCGGGATGCGAACCTTTGAATATTCGATTCGCAACCCGACACGCTGACCACTAGGCATCACCTACCCCAAATATCGAGGTGAAAGGTCGTACTTTTGGTAAAGTGGTGAACATATTTAACTTGTGAAACTATTAAACTTACCAACACATTTCTAGGAGAGTTTAAAAGGTTTAAATTTCATTGTTAGATTACTGAAATTAATTTCAAAGCATATAATGATTAAAATTTATAAGTTCTATCAACTCTTCATATATGCTTTGATGACTAAAACTAAAAGTTTTCTGTTCATGTCGACATGTTTAACTACTCATTTATGAGAATAAAATCTTCTAAAAGCTTCAACAATAACACATCCCTGCGAATTTGAACTTAATAAAAGTTGTTTTGGTTTTAATAACGGATTTTTCCTATAATTCAGCTACGCAGATTTCGAACATAATAATCATTTTTTTTTCTATCACGTA